TTGGGTCATAATTCACCAGGAATTCCTTACGTGGTGAAGCTCTACCTTCTGTTAATGTTTTCCACATATCTATGCCATCAAGAGATTGTATACTTGATCCATCACCACCTATAACAAGATAATATTCATCATAATTTTAATTTACTTCTCTTGTTAAATCAAAATAATTCACAAAAACAAATGCTGTCACCTACTTTTTTATTTTCTGTAGGATAAAACACCCAAACATTCAATAGTGAAACACAATAACCAAAAGCACAATCAACTTCCCATTACTACCATACCTGCAGCAGAAACCAACGTAGGCAACCAGTCAGTAATGTGAAGCATTTGCTGAGAGACTCTCCCTGGATTCAAGATCTTAGGTGACCACAAGAGTCCTGCCCCTCGCACTCCCCCTTCCCACATAGCTGCTTTCACCTGCATGAAATTCAAAATGCATTTTCAGGAGATGATGCTGCACAGTGCCAAAGAATTGTATATAATTTTTACAACTTAATTCCTATCTGATTTTAAAGTATATACCACAGCAGTTATTCATACCACAGAATTAGAATATACATTTATTTATCTTTTATTTATTCATTCCTTCATTTATTCATCTATCTATTTATTTAAATATTCATTTGTCTATATATCTATATATTTACTTATTTACTCATCTTTTTATTTATTTACTTATTTACTTATCAATTTATCAATTTATCTATTTAATTATTTATTCATTTATCTGTTAAGCTATCTATTTAATTGTTTTTCTCTAATACAATACAGCACAATGCAATATATGGTAACTCATAATGTCACAAACACACTGTAACCCCATACCAGCACACACAGCACAATACTCACCCCTCTCAAAGGCCAGTTTGAAGCCGCATTCCTGTCAAAGCCAGCAGCCGGACCACCGTTGTCCGTTGTGAAGAGGATAACTGAGTTGTGGAGCATCTGCTTGTCATTTAGCACTTCTACAACCCTGCCGACAGATTCATCCAGCTTCCACAGCATTGCTAAGGTTAAGTAAAAGGGCTTGTCACTATCATTATCATTATCATACTATCATCATTATCATCATCATCATCATCATTATTATTATTACTATTATTATCATTATCATACTATCATCATCATCAACATTATCATTACTATTATCATCTTTATCATCATTTATTTCATCACCATCACTATCACCAACAATATCTTCCATCATCATCATCATCATCATCATCATCATCATTATCATTATCATTATTAGTATCATTATCATTACCATTACCATTATCATTATTATTATTATTATTATCATCATTATCATTATTATTATTATTATTAATATTATTATTATTATTACTATTATTATCATCATCACTATTATTACTCTTACTATTATTATTCTTACTATTATTATAATTAGTATTATCATTTTTACAGTTATTATTATTACTATTATTATCATCACTATTATTATAATTACTATTATTATTATTACTACTATTATTATAACTATTACTATTATTACTATTATTATTATTACTATTGTCATTATTACTATTATGATTACTATTATTATTATTATTATCATTACTATTATTATTATTACTATTATCATTATTACTATTATTATTATTACTGTTATTATTATTACTATCATTTTTATTCCTCTCATTATTACTGCTATTATTATTACTATTATTATTATCACTATTATTATTACCATTACTATCATTATCATTTTCATTATCATTATTATTATCATCATCATTATCATCATCATTATCATTACTATCATTATTATTACTATTACTATTATTATTATTATTATTATCATTATTATTATTATTATAATTATCATTGTTCTCATGATAACCAATATCATCACCATTATTGTTATCATTATTATCAGCATCGTTACTATCAGCATCATTACTATCAGCATTATTATCAGCATCATTATCATTATCATTAGCACTGTTATCAATATATCACTACTATGTTATTATTATCACTGTTATTGTTATTATAATCACACTTTCTCATAGTGACTGTTTCTATAAAATATAATCAAAAGAAAGTGTGACAATTATAACAGCCTATATAAAAAAAATAATAATAATAAATCAATAACTAGATATTTCTCAAGCAGTTATAGCTTCTCCACATAAAAACATCTACTACCTGCAAATTTCCGCCTTTGTTCATCCTTTATATATGAGAACTTCTGCACAACCTCATCAGGCGCTTGCAGAGGGGCATAGGAATTGCCTGAATGGACGGCGAGATGGGCAAGGTATAAAAAGAGGGGCTTCGACGTGTTGTGTTGGTTTATGACCTTCACCGCTTCATCCGTAAAGAGGTCTGTGGTGTATTTACCTAGAATTGGGAAAAAATGAGGAATGATGATTGGATAATGGTTGAAACAAATAAATGTGCTAGACATCTTTGGTCATATAGCACTATGGTAAAGTATTGTGGTGAAAAGGGTAAATGAGTTAATGATTACGTTAGAGTGTTACATGTCAAAGATTATAGAGTGTTATAGGATAGTATGATAGGGAAAAGGGTAAAGAAGGGCTGCAAATGAAGTAAATTGGAGATTAATAAAGGAAAGGGTTAAGGGTATAGGGTGATTGGATAAATTGGGGTGTAAGTTGCTGGGGAAGATATAGGAACATTGCTTTACAGAAAAATTGGTAAAGAGTTATTATGTAACAATCAACGGGTAATAGGGTTAGAGCTGACTGTTGGAGAATTAGCAGGAGAAGAATCTGGGGGATGAGATAAGAGGACTGGGGAAGGAGGTGAAGTATCAAGAAGAGTGTTATGAGGGGAGGAATCTGGGGAAGGACACTGTTGTGACAGTAGGGATTCACTTGAGTATCCAGGTAGGAGAGGTAAGGATAATGGAGAATGAAAAGGAAATGGTGTACAGGTAGAAGGAGAGGATGGGGTGTGTTGGGAAAGAGTAGGAGGAAGATGGGTAGGGGGAACTTGCAGGGGAGGAGGAGGAATATTGGCAAATACTTTGACTGTAGAGGGACTAGGAATAGAGGGATTAGAGGGTGGATGAGGGAGTGGCTAATTATCTTGGGTCATGTCTAAAAATTTTGGAATGTCTTCAAAAGATTCTAGAGGGGATTTGGGTACGGAGGTCTGAGAAACAAAGGATCTCTTGTGAGGACGAGAAGAGAGGATAGATTTTTGAGCAGAGGAAAAGAAGGGTGTAAGAGAGAGTGTGAAAGTTGAAGATGGAGTACATTTAGGTTGTCTAGTGCAGCAGGTAAGGTGAGGGGGAGGAAGGGTAGGCATTGGAGAAGTGGTAGAAATTGGAGTGTCTGGATTTAGAATGGAAAAGGGATTGGACTGGGGGATGGGGAGAGTAGAAGTAGGATGGTTTTGGATAGAGGAAGAGATACTGTGGGAGATGCAGAAACATCTTGTGGAGATGGGTGGTGCAGAGCGAAGAACTGTTTTGGAATAGGTAGAGATAAAAAAAAAACTCATCATCACACTTCCTGTCTAGCCTCACAGAGTGAGGCCTAGTTTGAATCTGAGAACTGCTACCTCACATTCGAGCATATAGGCAGGGCAGCCTCTACAAAATACATTACGGGAGTCACCACAGTTGGCACACGTGACTGAGCAGGGCAATATGAACTGTCATGACCAGGTTGGGCACATAGAGGACAGCAGGCTGTGGAGCGACAGTGTTTGGCTGGGTGGCCAAAACGCCAACATTTCTGACATTGACGGGGAAAGGATCTATATGGTCAGACATGGTAGGACAATCCACCAATATAAACTTCATGGGGGAGGTCATATCTCCAGAATCTAATCTTGGCAATACTGACATGGGGCTTATGCTTGCTTCTGGGAGGAATAGTGTAGCACTGTACTGCTACTGCATCATAATTAACAAGGCATGTAAGCAGGTCATTTTCAGTCTGACCAGTTTCTGTTGTAGATAGTACAATCAGTCCAGCACAAGTTTAATAGGAAGAGAGGTGAGGTTTGGCAGGAATGGATTTGCCAGTGAGGTTAGGGTAGACTTTGCACGAGCTTGGGATTCAGATGTAACTATGACCTGGTGTAAACAATCAGAGCGACTGCAAAATGTAACTTTGCCTACTTGTTTTTGGAGACGCTATTGAAAGAGAAGGGTATTCTCAGAGTAGGGGGCTGTGTGGGGAATCACAAAGAATCAATCCCACTTGACTGGGCCAAAGAGAGTACTCAAAAGGTTTGCAGAGGTAGATGCAGTAGAAGGACAAGGATGGGAGGAAGATGGGGTGGTGTGGAGTGGAGTAGCTTTGTGGGGGGAGGACAATAAGGATGAAGAATAGTAATAAGGGATGAGGGGGTAGACAATGAAGAAGGCTGTGCAGTTTGAGATGGAGAAGAGAATGTTGGGAGAGAGACAGGAGTGCATTCTAGAGGATAAGTAATAACCTGGGTGGGTGGTTTGGATTGGATAGTTGTCAGTAAACGTCGAGGAAGTGGTATTACTATCAGTGGTCGGAGCCGAGGTCAAAAGAAGGGCAGGGATCCAAAAACCATCAAAATCAAATTCAGATAGGCCAGTTGATGAAGAGGCAAGTCTTAATGCCCCTATTAAGGGTAAATGTTTAATGTTTGATGTTTGAAACAAATAAATGTGCTAGACATCAAAGTTCATATAGCACTAAGTTAAAGTATTGTATCAGAAAGGGTAAAGAGTTAAAGATTATGATAAAATGTGGTAGATGTCAAAGATTTGAGAGCATTTATTATGGGTAAAGAATCTTCATTATTGGCCATGGTAAGCCTGAATAAAATGGGAAAAAAAAATGGTCTACCCCTCAGGATCCCCATTAGGAGTAAGGGCTAGGCAATTAACCAAGAGAATACTGTGCCCATGGCTCCCGGGGGCCATTCAAGACTGACACAAAGCTAGCCTTTCATCCTTTCAACACGGCTCACACGCCTTTGGAATAGGACAGAAGGGGATGATGATATGGAAGAGGAAATATGAATAAGAAAAGACCAAGCAAAATTAGTTGAGGCGAGGGCTGAGGCCCAAGGTAGGGGTGACCCCCTTCGGCCTCAGTCTCCATCTCCTAACCCCCCCATGACAACAACGACCAAGGTGTTGGGGGGAAAATGCAGTATTAGTAAGCCTCGCATTTCTTTCTTTTTTTCTTTTTCTTTTTTGCTTTTGTTTGTTTTCCTTCTTACTTTTTTTCCTTTTACATTTTACTGCAAAGCCATAATTGGAAATGCTATGATTAGAAAGTTGGCTTTGCTCTTAGGCTTATTATGTAACACTGATTTGATGTTTTATTTAGATTTAACATTTATAAAATATTAATCTTCCTCAACTTCCTTTGCTTTTTCTTCTGATATTTTACTCCCATGACAATATCGTCTCAAGAATTTTTTTTCACTATCTGTATCACAATAAATTAATTTTACTGACCTTATCAAGAAATAATGACTTTATGCTAAATATGCAGCATAGGATTTCAAACCCTGAGATACTCACCCCCAAAATTGACTAATTAATTAAATTAATTAATCAAAATCAAGGAAAAAATTTAGTCTTCCTATCTTATATGGATAAAATCACTGATCTGAATACATTGTGTTTGTACTTTAGTAGCAAAATGAATGACTGAAGCTAACAAATATTCTGAGGCCCATTCCTAAGTCAACAGTAAACCTGCGTCAATATACACATCAAGGATGGAGAGCTTTTAAATACTCCTATCAGTATAACAATCACAAAGAAAAGTTTCATGCCAAGCTGTTTGAAAATACAAGCTAGGGGATAAGTCTCTGAAGTCAGTTTTATCATCCCTTTCTGCAATCATTCTGGAACCAACACCACCAAGAGAGATAAGGGTCAAAAGATCACTTATCAAAAGTTTTATTGTAGTGAGGCCATAAATGGGAGTACCAGTTGTACACTGTTACACAGTTTTCTAAGGGTTAACTCAATCTTTTATCATAATTTTGGTCTTACCATAGCAGTCATGCGCAACACTCATATTTCTCCTCATGTCATATCCCCAGTAGCCAGGCTGAAAAAAACAGTCATTTGAAAGTGTGTTATGTCTACAATTCCTCATAATTCATTTATAAACAAATGCTATCACTTTGTAGCAGTCTAATGAATGAAAGTTTGATAAAAAAGTAACTAGATATATTGCAGAAACTCCTTAGAGTTACTACACTTGAGATACATGTAAAATGTTCATCCACTATCATCTAAAATCAGTAACAAAGCCTATTAGTATTTATGACAACATGTAACCACATTTCTAAAACTACAGCATATAAGTATTAGTTCATTATTAGTCCATACAAAAATTGAATTTTACCAGTTAACTGGTTCTTTTCTAAAAAATCATAAACTAAATATCCTCTTATTGTCTCTAACAATGAGAAACAGACTATTTGCCAGGCATATCTGGCAAAATATAGCACATATTCAACAAATCAGGGGGACTCTTTGCATTTCTTTCAATTTCTTGGGAGCAATGATTTCTGTTCTTTACCTATTTTTCTGATCTGATGAAGAATTTCATTTTCATATTAATTTTCTTATCTAAAAAATAAGTTTAAAGTAGGTTGGCTTTCTGCACAAACTCAGGTCACAAGTTGTTACTTTTTAAGATGGGAGTCAGTGACTGAGATTATTGGTTCCACATTTTAAGACTTCAGTCTTGAATTGATTTTATAGCTCTCCAAACTGTGTAATTTTGTATACATTATTTTCTTGCATTCCTCAAAAATAAGAAATAAAATGGAGCATACTACATGTCCCAACAGCTTTATACAGCAATTGTTTGCCATGGACTTTACTTTTTTTATTATAATTTTAATGGTCTAGAACAAGAGGGGAAAAATAAATCCTTTTTAAAATTATAAAATACTTCCTTAACCCATTTCTTTGTGTAGTGCCTTTTATTCACAATTGATGAAATTTGATTACTTTGAAATTTGATATGTTGATTTATAAATTCTAATGATTTTTTTCTATCAAAATTTTAAGGTGACCGAATTTTTCTTCTCAAGTCAGGTTATTCAAAGAAAGCATACAATTATGCAATGAAAACAAATCACCAATAAAAATAGTAACACAGCTATAGACATACAAAAAAATGCAAAATCATGGTCTATCCTGTATAAGTTTGTCCCTTACTATGTGCCTGATGAAAAAATATGATAAAGGTGCATGAAAATGAAGCTATGGTTACCCTACATCAATAGCAAAGCAGATGGCAAGTTTCAACAAAAATCATGCAATAACATTCAATCATAGCATATCAAAACTCATGTGATGCTTTTTATGTCAGCAAGCCCTCTAATGTTTATATATAGTTTTCTCATACCATTTTCATAAACTCTATTAAGACATGAAGTGAATAAACATATAACACTGCTAACACAAAAATCATCCATAACAGCAGAAAACTAAGAAAATTATACTCAAAAGGTGAGGACAAAAAAATCCACTCAGGTATCTATCAGTGCTATCTGTGGCATAAACCTTTAGTGCTTGATACATGCATTGTAGTTTTGTTTTATCAATTTCACTTCTATCTGATTGCTCCACAAGGACTTAGTGACCACAGAGTCAGTTACTAAGACTACCTGACCTCACCTGTTTATCCCATTCCTTGAATTTGGGAAAAAAAAAATTAATTTCTATCACCATTATCACCATTATCAACACTGTTATTATTATCATTAAAACAGTATTAACAATAAAAATAAAACATCTTTCCAAAAAATTTAAAGGAATGGAGTAAACCTGAGACTGGTTAGGCCTAGTATCTGATTCCTTGGTAACTAAGCACATCTGGAGCCATCTATGAAAAAACAGAGTTAACAAAATGGCATGTACACATGTAATCTTGGTGTTAAAGGGTTGATTGATCTTCATAAATTACTAACTAATAGGTACTAATTATGCTTCTTACATTTAGTACAAAGTACAGAGCATTAAAAATATATTCTCTATATATATATCTGAAGCAATCAGTGATAATCATTATTTGCTCAACCTCTCATTAAGTCACATTATATATATTTTTTGGAAATAGTTTTACACAATCACAAAATTCAATTACTGATATTTAGTACAAGTATGAAGTAAAACAAAAGGCTATTACACTACGTACTGCAATAATGGCTTGCTGAATATATGAAAATATAATGCTCCTCTAACTAATGCCAAACCAAATCATCACTTAATTAGATATTCCACATTTAATCACATGAATACCATCAAAATATTTCTTTAAATGTCTACCTCTCACATTATGGTATAATAGGAGCCAGATGTAAGATGGGCCATTTTTCACTATCTAATTCATGCAATCAATCCAGCATACAAACATGTTCTCACACTAAGGGTAAAATTGAGGTTATTTTTGTTACAAGGAGTGTTATTGATATTAATCATCAAAGAGCACAAAGACCTGAGCCGAGAGGTTGATTACTTATTAGTGCCCTCATCATATTCAGAGTAAGCATAAGAAGCAAAACAGTTCCTAGGAACAGTACCCCTGATTTAGTTGATTTTCATGTTAATATCATAATTAACTCTGAACTAATATATCACTTTTCTATATCATACATCAACATTATATCTGAATAAAATAGTCCTTTCTTGTTCATGCATTTTTGCAAATATAAACCCTATCAAGATTTTAAATTCTACGGTTTCCTATAGCCTGGACCTCGATAATAAATTGAGCTAAAGCATACAGAGAGAGTAATCTAATATCACATACATTTTCTAAGGCTGTATGATTGTAATAATCTATTCTTCCTGACCAATACCCAAAGTGTGACTCAAAACCCCTAAATGTTGGCGTGTACTCCTTTTGGAAGAAGCCAAGATGCCACTTGCCAACGTGCTGAGCTGTGTAACCGAGTTTGGCCAACCGTTGGGGGAGAAGAGTTTCTATCAGGTCTAGGCCATAAGGGTGTGGGCCACCTATAGTTGAGTGTTGTAAACCTTTAAGGGTGAGACAGTAATCTGAATATTAGGCTACTTTCCCATTTTGACTCTGCAGGAGAAGAACACTAATATAGATATGAATATGATTGACATATACTGGTAAGTCCTATTAGATACATATACCTACCTGATTGGATGCATCATCAAACCTAAAAACCCACAAAATTATTAAACAAACTTATGTCCCTATCTAAGAACAGCACTGTATAAAATCTTTAAAAATAATTATAAATTCAAAAACATCATAAAGATGGACAATCACTCCCTCAAACTCATGGGAACACAATGCTCATTCCTACCGCCTCCTGTGCTGAATGATCATAATAATCCTTGTGCCCTGTCCAGTACCCAAAATGCGATGCAAAGCCCCTGTAGGTTGGTGTCATTTCTTTTATAGCCATGCCCAGGTGCCACTTCCCAACCAGATGAGAGATGTAGCCCAGCTGGCCTAAGTGCTGGGGCAGGAGTCTTTCACCCAAGGGAAGGCCATAAGGCTGAGGCCCTAAGATCACCTCATGGTTAAGACCTATGAACAATGGTATCAGTCAATATATTTTCTCTTTTCCTTTTTTTTCTTTTAAAACATTATTTATTAATTTTCAACATATGCGCTACACTTACTTTATCAATTTTTAACTGTTCTAACTTTATCTAAAATTGTTGTACCAACAACTATATATTCCACAACAGTCAGTTTTTGTGACCTCCCACTTTAAACTGGTATACAACAGACTTGGATGGGTGATGTAATACATTTTGAGTGCTTGACAAGTATTACATAAATAAATACATATAAAGTATATCAAAATAATAGTGTTGTTCTGTTTCTCCAGACTCTCTGGAAAAAGGCCTCACTAGTACCACATGAATTCTGAAAAAAACACTAATATTTTTATTATGTGTGTGTGTGTGTGTGTGTGTGTGTGTGTGTGTGTGTGTGTGTGTGTGTGTGTGTGTGTGTGTGTGTGTGTGTGTGTGTGTGTGTGTGTGTGTGTGTGTGTGTATGTGTGTGTATGTGTGTGTGTGTGTGTGTGTGTGTGTGTGTGTGTGTGTGTGTGTGTGTGTGTGTGTGTGTGTGTGTGTGTGTGTGTGTGTGTGTGTGTGTGTGTGTGTGTGTGTGTGTGGTGTGTGGGTGTGGTGTGGGTGTGGTGTGGGTGTGGGTGGGTGTGTGGTGTGCGTGTGCGTGTGCGTGGTGCGTGTGCGTGGTGCGTGGTGCGTGCGTGGTGCGTGGTGCGTGTGTTGTGTGTGTGTGTGTGTGTGTGTGTGTGTGTGTGTGTGCCTCACTATCCATGTCTCCTTGGTTACTACCGACCCACAATTACCTATAACCCTTCAATAATTTTGGCAAATGAATCTGTGAGGGCTAGGAATCTCTGGTAAATCAGTTTTCTGTGTGAATGGTTCAACCTGAATGTACTCTATTTCAACAGATGATCTGATGCTTTAGTTTCTCAAATAAAACAGTCAAGATATTTTGCAACAGATCTGATGCTATATTTCCTCAAATAAAACAGTCAAGATATTTTGCACCAGATTAGTGTCAATTTGCTTGGTGTAGCCACACCCTTAGTGTGAATGTATGTGTGCATGTGTATGTGTGAATGCCAGTATGTGAATGTGCACATGCATTTGCATGTGAATGCATACATGGTCAAGCCTTCAATACTTTTTAGTACAACAACAAACAAAAACTCTTTTCAGTGAAAAGCCAACTCATTAAGACTAAGAAAAGGGATCTCACCTGTATGTATTGGATGCTTTCCAGTCATCAGGGCACTTCTGGATGGCGTGCATATAGGCTGAACATAATAGTTATTCAGGATTAACCCTGAATAGGCCAAGGCATCAATGTTGGGTGTAGGAATTTGTGTTGATCCATGAAATCCCACATCGTTGAAACCCTAGGAAATATTTGGAAGATTATATAGAATACCAATTCATTGAAATCCCTTTTCTTAAAATTAAGTCTGCTATCCAAACATTAAATTCAATGATGGAAATACTATGATTAACAACTAAGCTTTACTTTCTAACTTTTATCCAAGTCTATTAGATCACAAATAATATAGTAATAAAAAAAAATGATAATGATGATAAATAAATAAATAAATGGATGAATAAGAACCAGAATCAGAGCCAGAACATAACTGAAGGTAAGTCTACCATTGCAATGGATGATACAGACATTGATTCAGCATGGCATTCATACCATTAACACTAGCAAAAGCATAGCAAACCTCCATTATGTTTGTTCTGACAAGGTTGGGCTCATAGAACCCTATGATGTTTTTCAAATGCTAAGGAAGCAGTTTAATCTCTGCCTTGATGATTATTAGTGACAATGACAATGATAATGACAATGACAAAGACAGAGACAAAGACAATCATAATGATAACAATAATGATTGATTATCAATGTCAATGTCAAAGTCATTATCTATGACAATGACAATGACAATGATAACAACAACAAAGATAATGATATTAATAATGATGAAGATAATAATAATAATGATAATGGTTATAGGTAATTTTCTCTATTATGTCTGCATAATGGATCGCAATGATTTCAGAATCACTGGATTCCTCTCACCGTCTACAATGCATATATGTAGGTTTTATTGCACGGAAGCCCCCCAACCCAAAATGCCCTACAGTCTTGGCCCTGGTAGCAGGGGAAGACATGAAAGGTACCAGGTAAATTGTGGGGTAAAAAAATAAATGAAATACACAGTCACTATACTGGTTAATGCAAGGGGCTGTGCCCCCTACAACTTCCCCATTGGGAGCTTCCTCTCCCCAACCCCTGCCCAGGAAAACAAAGAATCCTCCACGTATTAATGGCAGAAGAAAGCGTCGGACAGACTTGTTACTGCCGCTCCCATGTGAATACATGGAGGATTCTCTGTTTTCCTGGGCAGGGTCTGGGGGGCAGCAGCCACCCATGAGGGGTCACAGGGGGGCAGCAGCCACCCATGAGGGGTCACAGGGGGGCACAGCTCCCTGCATTAGACAATGTAGTGACTGATTCTGGGTAGTCTATTTACATTTTACCCTGACATTCCCCTGGTAACTTTGATTCCTTCCCCTGCTATCGGGGCTAAAAATGTGGGGGGATTGGGGGGTTTCCACACAATAATTTCTATGTACATGAAAACTAGATCATGAGAGGAATCCAACAATACCACAATCATGACAATCCATTATGCAGAACTATTAGACAAAAATACCTAAAAGTGATAATGATAAGGATAATGACAATAATAATGATGATATTAATTAGTGATGATGACAATAATTACAATATTCATGATAATGATGATGATAATAATAACAAGAAGAATAACTTTTACAATAATTATAGACTGATTCAGTAACACCTAGCAACCACCCATAGCAACGAGCACTTGATGAAAATAAACCCTCGTTCATTCGAAAACTCACTGCAATGTGCTTATAGAGTCGCTGAAATTTGGCGAGAATTTAGTTTCTT